GGAGATTCCTGTCTGACCTCATCTGTCAACCTGTCCATCACCACAGCAAACAAGAAGGGACTCAAAGCCGATCCTTGATGTAGCCCCACCTCCACCTTGAACTCCTTTGTCTGACCTACAGCACATCTCACTACTGCCGTACTCCTCTCATACATATCCTGGACTACTCTGATGCACTTCTCTACCACTCCTGACATCCTCATACAGTACACCTCTCCTCCATTCCTCAGGCGTCTTCTCACTCTCTAAAATCCTGTTGAACAAACTAGATAGAAACTCCACTGCTGTCTCTCCTAGACACTTCCACACCTCTACAGGTATGTCATCTGGACCAACAGCCTTTCCACTCTTCATCCTCCTCAGAGCCTTCCTCACCTCATCCTTTCTAATCTTTGCTACTTCCTGCTCTACAATATTCACCTCTTCCCCCCTTCTTTCCCTCTCATCTTCCTCATTCATCAGTTCCTCAAAATACTCCTTCCATCTTCTCTGCACACTCTCCTCACTTGTTCAGACTGATGATTCGCATGTTGAAATTTAGCATGTTTTTACACCGGATGCCCTTCCTGAAGCAACCCTCTCTATTTATCCGGGCTTGGGACCGGCACAGAAGTCACTTGCTTGCAACCCCTGTGGCTACGTTTCAGCAAACGATTATGTACAGTTGCCTACAGTTTGAACAGTTGTCAGTTGTCCTTTTGATCCAACTAGATCAGTTTCTTTTCAGGCAGTCTTGCTCCAAAGCACTTAATTCTTTCACTGTTCACATCATCATATGCACTTTAATTCATGCAGTGGTCAAAACATGTCAAGCCCCAAACTGCCATGAATTGTACATGCGCAAAAAGTTGCTTCAGAAAAGACTCACGCCCTTCACTTTCTGCACATTTTAATACATAGTGAATTGCTATTTTTCCATTTTAAACTAGATTTACTGTATAATATCTCTCGATTTACTTTTGAGACTTGAGCTTTTGGGTGAGATGTATCGTTTTGCTAATAAATGATTGTGCTGTACATTGAAACCTTTGACAAATACATATTAAACAGTGAGAACGATGGTGATATTTCAGGAAATGAGCCAATTGAGAAAATCTGTAATACATCGTCCCTGCCAACCTAATAAAATCTAATAACTCTTGAGGTTGTTGTTAGCTAACGTTAGCTGCTCACTAGCTCAGCGTCCTGTAGTGACTACTGAAAACGACGCGCCTAATGTCGTCCACATAAAACAACCAGAAAAGGCTAAAGCACAACGAGCGAATTATTGCGGTATCTAAATTTAATCTACCTTCTTCCAAAGGCTCCAAAGGGGTCCCATAAGTCACAAAATCCTCATCGGCGTCACTGTCAGACGCCATGGTTTTCTGCTACTACGGTAACCGCAAAAGATCAAACTTTGCAGCGAGAGCCGAAGCTTCATTTACGCTAAAATACAGTATTGGCGACATCTGGTGGCGACTTGTACATGCCATTAAAGTAAAGGACTAGTACGCCCAAAAAGCAAAAAGAAAGCTTTGCTTCAAGTCAGTACTTACGTCTTCACGGGCTCCCAATGGAGGACCGAGCATGTCAGCTGCATATTGCTTACAGGATAAATCATGCCTCCAGCTCCTTTTATCATTTTTGTAAGAAGGAGGGTGACGTCACAGGTCGTAACACCAGAGTCAGTGCAGCAGCCTGAAAACTGTTCATGTCTTTATTTACAGTAATGTATGTCCAGGGCATCTCTAAACTGCCCATAGGAGTGAGTGTGAGTATGTGTGGTTGTTTGTCTACGTATCATGCCTGTGACAGATTGGCGACCTGTCCAGGGTCCAACAAAGTGTTAACATCTGTGTTTATGAAGCTCAAAAAGTTTGTTTTTGGTGAAATTGTCATAGATGATAGATAGATATATTTTACATTTCTTATTGAACTATGACTTCCTCTGAGGCTGCAGGGGACCTGCGGTGTCGGATATCGAACATCCGTTCCAAAGCTCACAACAGTTTGTCATTTGTTATCTTTGAGCCTGAAATCACTCCCACTCCCTCAGTGATCTATAAAACCTCACACTGCTACACACAAACCAAACTCCTGGCTCAGCAGAAAGCCGAGGCGCAGTAAAGATCCAAATCTGAGACCCCCTTGACTGCACACAAAACAAAGGGCCTCCCTGCTCTTTGTAACACGATCAAGCTGCTAAACTTCAGGGGGTTTAACAGAACTGAACCTGGAAGAGCTGGCGTGAGCTCATGGCCGCGTACAGAGGGTCACTGTGGTGTTGTGAACTGCACTGCTGGAGCCTGGAAGAGTGGCAGGATGAAACCAGAATGAGCTCAGCACAGAGCCAGAACATAGCCAGTGTAGAGTCAGAGCCATCTATAGCTGAAACAGGGTCAGGACAGAGCCAGGACACAGTCAGGACAGAGCCAGGACACAGTCAGGACAGAGTCAGGACACATTCAGAACACAGTCAGGACAGAGCCATTGTAGAGTCAGAGCCAGGCTATAGCTGAAACAGGGTTGGGGCAGAGCCAGGACACATTCAGGACAGAGCCAGGACACAGTCAGGAGATATTCAGGACACAGTGAGGACAGAGCCAGGACACATTCAGGACAGAGCCAGGACACAGTCAGGACACAGTGAGGACAGAGCCAGGACATTTTCAGGACACAGTGAGGACACAGTCAGGACACGTTCAGGACAGGTTCAGGACGGAAGATTCTAGGATCAGACCATTACGGGACATATTCAGGACACAGTGAGGCAGGACACAGTGAGGACAGTCAGGACATATTCAGGACACAGTGAGGACACAGTCAGGACAGCTTTGAAGCAGTGCTGCTAGGGAAGATTCTAGGATCAGACCATTACGGTTGCTCAGCTGCTAAATCATTCATTTCACTGGATAACAATAAACACTAATATTTGTCTATATATGATGTTTTGAGTTACAAAATTACTGTTATTGAATTGCACAAGTTTTACAACAAAACATTTTTAAGGAAATGAAATATGGTGTTTGCAGAAGCATTCACCCATTCACCTTGGCTAACCTCAGTTCAATTAGGTTCACAGTGTGTTGATGTTTGTGTATGCAAATTAGCCATGTGGATTTGTTGCCTTTGTGTTTAATGTAAACATAAAATTAAATTTTCTTTCATTTGTTAATGAAGAATAATGTTACAGCTATTTCATCTCCATGTTAAAGTGCTAAAGTGCATCAGTTAGCTCATTAGCAGGCAAGTGTGCAAGCAGAGTAGGCCAGACAGCTAACATTAGCTAATAAGCTAATGATTTATTGGTGAACCAGGTCAGTCAAGGTTCTTTAATGAAATTCACAGCACAGAAATGGAGAATGAGACTGGCCAGAGCCAAAATAGAGTCAGAATGAAGCACTAAATGGAGCCAGGATGAAGTAAGTGGCGCCAGAACACATCTTGGACTGAGCTGGGACATATTTTATGACAAAGCATGAACAAAGCCCTGCAGGACACAACGGGTTAATGTTGGAGGGAAAGTCAATATGAAAACTAGACATCGCTATCAATGTGTGTGGAGACCGGAGGACATCATCATGACATCAGCAGGGTGTGATTCGTGCTGAGCTTCTAGGGGGTAATGCAAAGGGCTCTACAAACATGACGGAATATGAAAATAAGAAAAACCACTGGAAGTATAAATATGAGGCCATGTGGAGTGGGGTAAAATAAAAACATGAACACCTGTGCAGTGTAACATAGTCCCACACAATGACTGCAGCCATGGTGAAAAAGGCAGGGAAAAGAGGAGGATAGAGAGGAGACAGGGGAGAGGGAGAAGCTACATCAAGGGTGGAAGGAGTAAAGGAGGGGAAAAGAAAAGACTGGAGGATGTGGATGGACATGTACCTCTAATGCATTGAAAGAACATCCTCTCAGAATGAATGGCTCTTGTTAAACCCACTGGATTTGTTTTTCAAAATTGTCTACACTGCAACCAATTCAAAGACAAATATGGTCCCCATGCCACTTCTTGATAGATCACATTTATAAAGGGTTCATAAGCTGTAATTAATGATTGATAAATCACATTACTAGTGTGTAATTATCCATTAATAAGAACTCAGCTTTGGGAAAATCCTCTTCCAGCAAAACTCTTTTTATCTCTGTAATTCATGAGGGAGGCCGCTCCAGTGTTTGACCAGTGATCATCTAGAAAGCAGCTGCAGAACATCTGGTTATGTTATTAGCAAAACATTAGTTTTGAACTTGAGTGTCTCTATTCAAACAACAGCATGGAAACTCCTTCCCTTTAAAATGTGGCCTTCAACATTTCACATTTACTGTTACGCTTTCTACATTTGGCCTGTTTGAATTTTTACACACAGCTACATTTGTCAATGAAAAGAAACTCATCCAAAATGAGAAAGATAAAAAGAGTGCATCTTAGATTTGTAGTTTGTTCACTTATTGTAGAGGATTGATCAGACAGACATGCTCTGGTGACCACTTGTGTTTGTGACCACCAGGTGTCAGTGTCTGCACATAGTTAGTCAGAGAACTCTTGTACTTGGACTACACCACAGTCCTTCATTCATCTGACTACCGGAGGTGCTGGTTTCTCTGCACATTCACATATCACATTGAAAATAAGTGATGGTTGATGACACAGTTACCTTTATACTTTATCTGTACATTTTAATTTAGATAGTTTACTCAATCTGTAGTGCTCCATTAACTGATCAGAGAACAGGGAAACCCAGTAAAGGGTTTCCCCACACACCACAAACACTTTGGGTTTAAAATGTGTTATAATGCATTTCGTAAGACTACTAATATGATCATTTGCAGTTTTTTAATGGCTGGTTATGCTCTTTTCTTCACACCATTCTCTCTCAAACAACAAGGAATGTCGCACACAGTGCATGCTGGGAAGTCTGTCGAGACTAAGTGACATATTTCTTCAACAGTGGAGGTCTACGGCACAAAACAGTAAACTAAACCAGGATTTGGATTCACACACATGATGGTGAGGACATGACATTCACTGGTGCTGGTGATGGGATTTGTGCAAAATAACACAAACATACAAAATTACCATCTGTGTCCTTTGAGGCATGAAGGGGGAGATGCAGACGGTTTATTCTAAAAAGAAATAAGATGCTCAAAAAGAAAAATACTCTAAGAAAACAGAAACAACACCAATGATAACACAAAGCCTTAAAAACTGTTGACACTAACTGCTGACCCCTAATGTAGACCCAGACATTTCCAGATTAGCTTTCTGTTTATTAGATGTGCATGCAGCAATAAACATCAGTCTAACACTTATTCTGTGTTAGTTTGCTACTGCAACACTGTTTTTACAATAGTATGTAAATATCAAATTAGTGTTGAATGTAAATTGAATGTGAACTATGATGAATGTCTGATTAAATGCAAGGATTTGAAAGAAAGAAAGAAAGAAAGAAAAGGTGTGTAAAGTGAAGAGTACATCCAGAGCTTTGTTTGTGGTTGCGTTTGTGTGAGAAAATGAATTTGGTGTCAAAGCAAAAATAAGTTGAATCCTCAGTGGCTTCAGTGAATGTCTGAGGAAATCTGAAAACTCAGTATAAAATGCATTTAACCAAATGTAAACTTTGCACAATGAAGAGCTGCTGAAAGAGAGGACATGAGTTCGCTGCCTTCTGCTGTTGCTGTCCTCGGGTCGTGTCGAGGCGGCAACATTACACCTCTCAGCTCTAAATGTCATCATGGTGTGATAATGCAGAGCTGCCTGAAATATTAAAGAGACAAAGGTTCAGGCTGCTGCAGAGAAACTCATGACTAAAGCATTAAGAGCTGCTTCTGATCTTCCTCTGCAGGTCTGCTGCATGAGGCAACACAGTGCAACCATCCCCTGGTGCGTCCTGACAAGAACATGAAGAAGAGAAGCAGAAGACAGAAGGTGAAAGGGGTGAAGCAAAGGAGGAGAAGGAGAAGAGATGGGGAGGGTAAAGTAGAAGAGGAAAGAGGGCAAAAGGGGAAGGTGTTAGGAAAGATGATGCATGGAATGGAGGAGGTATGGAGAAATGAGTGAAATGGGGAAAGAGGGAGGAGGTGAGGAGGGAGTCGACAGGAGAAAGTAGATAATAAAGAAAGTGACAGGAAACTAGGAAAAGGGGTAGGATAGGAAGGGAGGAAGTAGAGAAGAGAGAAGTGTAGGGATAAGGAGAGACAAGAAAGCAGCAAAGTGTAGAAGGAGGTAGGAAAGGAAAAGGAATAGGTAGGAAAAGAACTAAGGACATAGGAGGGATGGAAGGGCAGTAGTGAATGGAAACTTCCTTTAGCCTTAAGCTTACCACATCGAATTCCTGCAAACCAGATGACAACAGACAGAATTTGTCCTACAGACAGGCAGGTAGCATGGGCTTCCATCCAAACATGGCACAGGTTTTAACTGAACTTCAAGAAAA